TATCAACTCATCAAAAACTTCACCACGTGGACTTCTTGCACGTAAAAAAAGACACTTGACACTTTCGTTCTATAGACGAATTTTATCCTAAAATATTAAAAATACATTATTTAAAAGATTTAGACATAATAAATATTATCATATTAATTTAATACTTACGTCTGTAATTTTACTAGATGATAAGATAGCAACATCCGTTTTGTTCATTTCTAGTGCCAATCTTAAAATTTCTGGATGGTCGACAATTTTAACTTATAAGAGAGAAAAAAATTATGTTTAATAAAAAAAAACTAAAAAAAATGAACATTTCTATATGATTTTACCAATTTAGTACAGTGAGCATTGAAGTTCCAGTCTGAATTCCAAGTTCCTAAGAAAAAAGTAAAAGGAATATTAGTATGTTAATATTCCTAAAAAAATTGACTATACTTTTCTTTTAATTCATATTTTTCCAAGATATTGGTATCTAAAATAATAAATTTTAGATTTAAGAAGTTGCTTTTAAAGAAAAATAATAAAAAGAAATATTAATAACCTTCTAAACCAAATATTTTTTTTTTAATAAAATGGCCTGTTGTTAAAAAAATATAACAGTAAAGGCCAAAAAAAAATTTTTATTGAATAAACCGGTTTGTTACAAACCAAAAAAAAATATTTTATTTTTTTCTTTCAATAAAACGGTCTATTAAAAGTCAAAAAATTGAAAAAAAATTATCTATTATCAATCAAATTAGCTGTCAATTACGTATTTTTAAAAATTTATGTATTATACTATGCTTATTAGGGAATTCCAAGGCATTATGCTGTTAATTAGTAGAAAATCGCTGGAATTCCAAGGCGGTATGCTGCTAATTAGTAGAAGACTGCTGGAATTATATATATATATATATTTTATTAAAAAATATTGTTGACTATGCAAATTAAAATATATGACATATATAAAAATGATTGTTATTACACAAACTATATATATAACCTTTTAAAAAATCTTAAAATCTATGCAAATGAAATTTTATGACTTTTGGAAATTTTACTACTAATATGGTTAAGCAAACTTACATGTGACTTTTATATGTATTTTTCGGGATCCTGGTAATTGTATGCTATTTTTTTTTATATTATTGTTACAACTAAAGTTACCTGCCAAAATTAGGGAGTTTCGGCATGTCGAAATTGTTGAAACTATTTCAATATTTCAACATTGGCCCTCTGATTTGTTGAAATGCCAAAATAGTTTTGACATGTCAAAATTGTCAAAATCTAAAAATATTGCGTTTCACTTAATAACTTGGCATCCAATGATCGTAGAAAGATGCACCATAGCTCGTTGGAATCGCTACATAATGACGAGTCGAATGGTGGTTAGATCGTCTTTCTACGATCACTGGATGCCGAGATATTGAGCAAAACGTTAAAAATTAGCATTTTGTATTTTGCGATACTGCGTCATTTGACATTTCGCTCAATATCTCGGCATTCAGTGATCATAAAAAGATGATCTAACCACCATTCGACTCGTCGTTATGTGATGATTCCAACAAGCTATGGTGCATCTTTTTACAACTATTGGATGCCGAGTTATTAAGTTAGCACAGTATCGCAATATACAAAATACTGATTTTTGACATTTCACTTAATATCTCGGCATCCAGTAATCATAGAAAGACGATCTAGCCACTATTCAACTCATCGTTATATGACGATTCCAGCGAGCTATGGTGCATCTTTCTACGATCATTGGATGCTGAGTTATTAAGCGAAATGTAATATTTTTAGATTTTGACATTTCAACAATAGCTTGTAGAGTTTTGGCAGGCAATTTTAGTTACAACACTTTCAAAAAATTAATAATAATTTGCAAACTAATGCTAAGAATTTGTGTAATGTATTCAGATTGAAAAATTAAATAAGAATACATATACTAAAACTTCCACCATTTGAAATTAATTTATGGGTTACTCCTCATAAAAATAGAAAGAGATCATAATAACATGTGGAGTAAAAGCAAGAGAAAACATTAGAATTATATAAAACAAGTAGTTTTAAATGTATAAAATACATGAAAACATAATTTTAAGTATTCATATTTATTAAAATAATGTAGTATATGACTTGAAATTCTTGCATACATATATATACATACCTGTCAAATTTGATGTTGTCTCAAAGTAAAGTTTAAACAAATAAATAAATTTCTCAATTTTTTTTTATTTTTTTTATCTTTGATATTTAAGGATTTATCATATGAATTTTGGTACTACAGCATGATGATCTGCAGTTTTTATAGCTCATAAAATTTAACCAATTTTGGCATTTTTATAATAACTTCGCCCTGAATTTATATAGTAATTTTCTATCGTTTATAAGTGGATTGGCTCTTAATAAAAAAATAAATTTAATAATAGTGAGTCTATAGATAGGCATTTAATAAAGAAAATAGTAGTAGTTATAAAAGTGAAAATAAAAATAAAAGCAAAGATAAAATTAGATATTTGGAATTTTAATTAATTTTTTTATTTTTAATTGAAGAATTTATTTTAAATTTCCTTTTTAAATTTTTTCTTAAATTAGTAAACTTTTTTATTTTATTTTCTTTATACAGTTAACTTTTAATAAATACATTTCTTTTAGAGCTATATATATAATTTTATTTAAAAGGACATACAATTATAGAAAGTAAATTATTAGAGATTATATAAGTTAAATTCAAAATAAAGGATGCATTTAGAAAGTATATATAATAAATACATTAGTACTTGATTTTATAATTTTATTTTTACTTTTATTTTTAATTTTATTTTTAATTTTATTTTTATTTTGTTTTATATTTTTATCTTTAATTTTAATTTATTTTTTTTAGTTTTATATATTTATTTTTAGATATGATATTACTAAATTTTGCTACAGATAATTCTTATTATATTAGTATTAGCAAATATTAATAAATAAAATTTTTTAATATTTTTAATTTTGCTTAAAATTCTATTTTAATTCTAGTAAAATAGTAATTACCAGTAGTAATATTTAACAATACTTTTTATTTCTGGTTTATTTAATTTTATTTAATTTTATTATTAATTTTTATTTGTTTTAATTTTACATATTTTTATTTTTAATTTTCATTTATTAAATTTTATTTTTGAAATTAATCTTATATATTTCAGTTTCAATTATTTTTAATTTTAGAAATAATTATTAGAAATATTAAAATTAATATAATGTATTTTTCCATTTACAATAAAAATTTCAATCAATTAAAACTATATGTAAAATTATTTTTATATGTAATTTTTTTAAAAAAGAATTCAATTAAAATTTTTTTATATAAAATTTTTTAAATTTTTAAATTATCTGAGTGAAATCATCCAAGTAATTTTTCATTTAAAGAAAAAATTGATAATAATCTTCTACTTAATTATTATACTATATTACATTTTTTTATTTAGTAATATAAATAATGTATTATTTATATATAACTGATATTTTTATATTTGTTTACTTATAGTATAATTAACTAATAAATATATCAGATATTGTTTGATTATTTATTTTATTATCAAATTTTTAATTATTCCAGTAATAATAATAGCTCATTGCTCTCGGTAAATTATCAGTATAATTAGTATAATTAATAATTTTGATTTTATAATCAAATTACCTACATAGTACATAGTATAGTACATACTTATTTTATATTGTGTAACTGGTTTTATTTTTGTTGCGTAAAAACCAGTACTATATTCCATGGAATTTTTGTATTTTTGTTATTTAGCCTATGATTAAGAAAAGTCTATATATTTGTTAAATAATATCAAATAATATTAAATAATGGTTTTAATGGTAAGTTTTGGAAACACATCATATACATTTCATACTTTTAAAGATTGTTTTATTGAAAAAAAAAAATTAATTAAATGATTTTATTTATAATACTATAATGTAAAAATTTTTTTATTTCATTTTTCAAGATGAATTCATTCAGATTTTTGAGCCGGTAATCATATTGATTACTTGATACTTGATCCGTAAAATGAAAAGTTTCCAGACAATGATTTGCGATAGGAAGTACCAATTAAATTTGATTATCTCATCTATTTTAAGGGAAAAAAATTTTTTTTAGCAATTAGCACGCGTAAATTTGGCGTAAAAGAACAAAAAAAAATATGAGTTCTTTATACTCAGAGTACCAATAATAAAGAATAAATTAGTGCAAAACGAGTGACCTAACTCGTGGTACAGTATTTAATATTTTTAATATTTTTTAATATATGATATATTGAAGATCAAAATCGCGTCATACATCATTAAATATCAGATCGAGCTGCTAAGAAAAAAAATTGGGAAACTAGGAGGAGGATACATTTTGACTCTTTTTACGCGCCAACCTTATTTTTAAGCTTAAAATTCAAAATAACTAAATTTCCTAAATTTGGTATTTCAGAATCGCATTATTTTGATCTCTTTTTTTCGATTTGTTTCGCCACGTTTTCGTAAACCATAAATAGTTATAAATCGCGTCGCGTTTATTTTATTTGCTCAAAACACATTTTTTTAAACTCACATGTATATGTATATCGATTTAAAACTCTGTCATACCGCATAATTTTTAATTTAACTTATTTGGCCTGACGTCAAAACATTCAAAACATTTAACAAGTCCTACCAATCAGTTACGTGACCCTGCTTACATCATGTGTTCATCATGATAAAGTATAAATGAACGACCTCTTCTTTTATCCGTTCTCAATTTTTTTCCAAAAAATTTCTTCGAAAAAAAAATCACGAAAACGATGACTACCAAATTTCATAAGACACAAAATATGATTGTAACTATCGAAGATAAGACTTTGCAAAAAAATCCTCCTAAAGATAGAAGGGGCTCAGCGAGCAAAAAAGTGTCTATTAGAGATAATAACCCTAATAAAGAAAATGTTACTAAAGAAAATGTTACTAATAAGGGTAATAAAAATAAAAAGGACGAAAAGAAAGAAGAAGTCGCTATGGTTAATTCGCAAAGACATGTTGTTGATATCGAAGATGAACCTTTATTAAAACCAAATCCTAGAAGATTCGTTTTATTCCCTATACAGTTTCATGAGGTACGTATTTATTATTTATGAATCAAAATCTTGCTATCTTGCTATTGAGATGAGGTGCGCAAAATTGTAACCGTAATCATCAAATATTGTGTAGATCTGGCAAATGTACAAAAAGGCCGAAGCTTCATTTTGGACTGTTGAGGAAGTTGACCTTTCCAAGGATATGAATGATTGGGAGTATAAACTTAACGATGAAGAAAAATTCTTTATTTCTCACGTTTTGGCCTTCTTTGCCGCCTCGGATGGTATTGTCAATGAAAATTTAGTGGAACGTTTTAGTAATGAAGTCCAAATTCCAGAAGCAAGATGTTTTTATGGATTTCAGATCATGATCGAAAATATCCATTCAGAAATGTACTCCCTCTTGATTGATTCTTATATCAAGGAGCCATCTCAAAGAGAATACCTATTCGATGCCATTGAGAATAGTAAGTGTTGTTTGTTGAGATTTTTAAAAATTTATAGTTTGTCTGACTAATTATTCAATCAATCTTTTTTTGTTTATAGTCCCTTGCATTCGAAAAAAAGCGGATTGGGCTCTTCGATGGATTTCCGATAAGGAATCTTCATTTGCTGAACGTCTTGTAGCGTTTGCCGCTGTTGAAGGAATATTCTTTTCTGGAGCTTTCGCGTCAATCTTTTGGTTAAAGAAAAGAGGAATGATGCCAGGATTAACTTTTTCCAACGAACTAATTTCTCGAGATGAAGGATTGCATTGTGATTTTGCATGTCTCTTATTCACTCATCTTCGTGCACGACCTCCAACAAAAACTGTAGAAGCTATTATAGCGGAAGCGGTTACAATAGAACAAGAATTTTTAACAGAAGCATTACCAGTTAATTTAATTGGTATGAACGCGAATTTAATGAAAAAATATATTGAATTTGTAGCTGATAGATTATTAGTGGCACTTGGTGGAGCAAAATTGTATAATTCAGAGAATCCTTTTGATTTTATGGATTTAATTAGTTTACAAGGTAAAACAAATTTCTTTGAAAAACGCGTATCAGATTATCAAAAAGCTGGAGTTATGAGTAACAGAGCATCTGTCGGATGTAATCCCGCCGATAATATTTTTACTCTTGACGCTGATTTCTAGTGATATGGTAAAAAGTCGATAAAAAATTCGATTATCAAGTTTGGTAAGGTGGGATTATTCTTTATTAATTATTACTACTAGTCTTATGTATTATTATTATTATTATAGGGAAGGGAATTATTATTATGTATGTA